ATGCTTCAAAATGATCAACTCTACTGTCTTGTTACGATTATCCCCAAAGCTAGAAAATGAGCTACTATGTGGCAGATGAGCTACTATGCGGCATGAGCGTCCGAGTCATCCTAGTTTTACTACTGTTCGTCATCTTGGAAGAGAGTTAGCTCTACCTAATTTTGTTGATGATTTATCTCCTGGTTCACTGTGTTCTTCTTGTTGTTAGGAAAACATTTTGAGTCTACACTTGACTCTTCTAGTAGAAAGCCTAATGCTCCTCTTGACTTAATTCACAGTGATGTTTGAGGTCCAGCCCCAGTTACTTCCTTATCATGCTCTAAATTTTATGTTAGTTTTATGGATGATTGTACTCGATTTACTTGGATATATTTTTTGAAGCAAAAATCTGATATGTTTAATTGTTTTGTTAAATTTCACACTTATGTTGAGCGTCAATTTGCTCGCAAACTCAAAGATTTTAGATCTGCTGGTGGAGGTGAATTTACCTCTCATGTTTTTAAAGAATATTTGAATCAGCAGGGAATTCATCATCAATACTCATATCTATATACTCCAACACAAAATGGTGTTGCTGAGCACAAAAACGATCACATTGTTGAGAGTAGTCTTTCCATGACATACGCAAGTGGTCTACCTCAATTCATTTGGCCAGAAGCCTTTTCTACTGCTGTATATCTCATTAACCGATTGTCAAGCTCTACCTTGGACTTCATATCTCCCTTCCAAAAGCTCTTTTGTAGTAAACCAGATTACTCTTTCTCCTGGTATTTGGTTGCATATGCTTCCCACACATTTATTCCTCTCAAAGACATAAATTTTCTCCTAAGGCTTATGAGTGTGGGTTTATTGGATACAGCTCCGAACATAAAGGTTACAGATGTTATGACAAACTGTCACGACGCTTTTTCATTGCACGACATGTAACATTTGATGAAACTAAGTCTTACTTTAAGAACCAGTGTTCCCAAACTAACACAAATAATAACATGTCAAATAATGTGTCTGTACCTATTTCAATGTCTTCTCAATTATAGGAAAAAGTACACTCATAAGCTCCTATCTCCTTTGAAATTACAAATGAACCATCTCAGCAGCATCACTCTCATCAGTCATCGCCTCACTCTGATAGGTATGATCATCAACCTATTTCCTCTGCAGATGTTTCACCACCTTCTTTTCCCTCTCCTACTTCAAACTTAGTTGCATCCACTATAATGCAACATGATTTATCTAAAGAACCCTTAGCAATTTCACCTATACCACCACATCGTTCCTCTCGCTCTATACAATCTCCTAAACATTTGTCAGATTATCAGATTTACTTTACCATCGTTTCTTTTCCTGACGCCACCCCTATGACCCTAAGAACAAAATATCCCATTGAAAGTTATACCTTAAGAGAGATATTGTCTTCCGATCATCAAGCATTTGCAACACAAATTTTTCAAATTCGAAAACCAACCACCTATGAAGAAGCTGTTGTTGACACGGGGTGGCTGGCCTCATTGAAATAAGAGATTCATGCACTTGAAAGAAATCACACTTGGGAATTAGTGCCACTGCCTCCAAGAAAAAATGTAGTGGGCTCAAAATGGATGTACAAAGCTAAGGTCAGATCAGATGGCTTAGTTGAAAGGTTGACGTCCAAACTAGTGGCCAAGGGATTTAGTCAAGAATATGACATTGATTATGATCAAACTTTCAGTCCAGTTGTGAAGGCACCCACTATTCGATCCATCCTGGCTTTATCATCTATGTTTAATTGGAAACTCCATCAACTTGAAGTGAAAAATGCATTCCTTCATGGTGATTTGAAAGAAGAAGTGTATATGTAATAACCAAAGGATTTGAAGATCCCTTATGACCACATCATGTCTACAAATTAAAAAGGGCGATCTATGGACTCAAACAAGCACCTCGGGCATGGCTTGAGAAATTCAGTTCCCTAGTCCATAGTATTGGTTTTCAAATAAGCAAGAATGACTACTCATTATTTATTAAAAGATCATCATCAAGTATTGTTGTCCTTCTAATCTATGTGGACTACATCATTGTTACTGGAAATGATATTAAAGACATTGAACTTATTAAGAAAGAATTGAACCTGAACTTTGAAATGAAGGATCTTGGAGAATTAAAATACTTTTTGGGAATTGAAATTCATCAGAATGAAAAAGGCATTGTTCTCACCCAACACAAGTATATTCTTGAGTTACTCTCTAAAACAAGGATGTTGGGATGCAAACCTATTTCTACCCTAGTTGAAGTAAATAGGAAGTTAAGGAGTGAAGAAGGAGAATTGTTAGCTAATCCTTCATTGTACAAAAGTGTAGTTGGTGGTTTTCAATGTCTCATATTTACGTGTTCTGACATTGCTTATGCAGTGAATACAATATGTTAGTTTATGCAGGCTCCTCGACAACCTCATTGGGAAGCCGCAAAAAGGATTTTGAGGTATTTAAAGGGCTCTATATATGATGGCTTATTCTATACTTCATCAAGTTCACCTGACCTCAAAGCATAATTTGATGCTGATTGGGCTTGGTGACCTAATGATTGTAGGTCAATTACAAGTTTTTGTATCTTCTTAGGAAAGATTTTGATTTCTTGGAGTAGCAAAAAGCAAGCCTCAGTATCTAAATCGAGCACAAAATCCTTATATAGAGCAATGAATATTGTCTCGGCAGAAATTACTTAGCTACATATGCTCTTTAAGGAAATTAGTGTTTCGACAATTAAACCAACCATTCTAGCGTGTGATAATCAAAGTTCCATGCTCCTAGCCACCAATCTTATCTTTCCGCACTAAGCACATAGAAGTTGATTATCACTTCATCAAAGAAAAGGTTGTATCAGGGTCTATTTACATAACCTTTGTTCCTTCATCCCATTAGCTGGCAGATCCGTTTACTAAAGCACTAACTAGACCAAGACACCATGAGTCCATAGACAAGCTCTCGATGCACAAGATGCATGCTCGGCTTGAGGGGGGATGTTAAGGAAGAGATTGTCCTTCACTGTCTTTCATAGCATTGTATAGGGTATTTATTTATAACATTGTATAGGGCATTTATTTCATTCTTTACCCTCAAAATGGAAGAGTGGTTCGTGGCTTTGAATGAAGGAGGGTTCACTTTCTCTCTCTAGGGTTTGGGAAATTTCACACTCATTTCTTGTAAATGGATATTCAAGTTGAAGCGTAAGGCGGATGGATCCATTGATATCTATAGAGCCTGAATCGTTGCATGTGGTTTTAGCTAAAAGAAAGGAATGAATTTTGAAGAAACCTTTAGTCTTATTGCAAAACTTTCCTCACTTCTAGCCATCATCTTATTACTTGCCAGTACAGGCTAGACGATGTGACAAGTTGATGTAAATAATGCTTTCCCTTATGGAGTGGTTGATCAAGTTATCTATATGTCAGCCGGATTTGTTTTTGAGAAGTTTCCATACCAATTTTTTCAGCTAAAAAAGCTTCTACTTTTATGTTATGTTGTCTGAAAGTTGGATTCTAATTTATCGGTCAAGAAACATAGAGATTTGCTTTCCATAGAAGATGAGATAATTCTATCCGGGAACAATCAAGTTAAAATAGCAAGAGTACGGGAGGAATTAGGCATTTGATTAGAAATGAAGAACTTTTCTAAGTCCTTTCTTGGCTTGGAGGTTGAAAAGTATAATAAAGGTATATTCCTATCTCAAAATCAATTTGCAAGAAAGTTACTCACAAAGTTTAGAATGAGTGGGAGTAAACCTATTTCAAGTCCTGTGGAACCAATTTTGAAGTTCAAGAGAGATCACGGCAAAGAGTTGAAAGATGTTAGTTTTTATCGAATGCTAGTTGGTAGTCTTTTTCACTTGACTATCACTAGACCAGATTTATGTTATACAATTGGTGTTGCCAGTCAATTCTTGCAAACTCCTAGAAACCCACATCTTGATGTAGCTAAGAAAAAATTGAAATATGTGAACTCAGCTTGTGACTTTAAATTATTGTTTGAGCATAACGAAAAATTTCAACTTACTGTTTTTACCGATGCAAGACACACGACATTCTAGTTTTGGGTGTTCTTTTGACGCCAATTCGGCCACATTTAGTTGGTGTAGTAAGAAGCAATCAAGAGTGTGGATATTTCATCCACAGAGACCGAATATACAACAACTACTCTAGCTGCGTAAGAATGCTTATGGTTAAAGAATTTTCATGGAGATATCTTCAAGGAAGACCAAAATTTGGTTCTTATATTTTCTAACACTGATGATATTGATGATAATGATATTTTGTAACATTGAAAGCACCGTCAAGTGCATATAATCCTGTCTTTCATGCTCCAATCAATCATATTGAATTGCAACATCATTTTATTCGAGAGAATGTACTTGAAGGTGAGAACAAGTTGCGAAAGATTGGTAGATGGATTTCAAGGGGTTTTCTTCAATGTAATTAACTGGTGTAATAGAGTTTCGAAACCACCTCGGACCTAAGACCAAGTAGGAGATGTCTTTACAAATGCGTTGTTGAAAGTCAAGTACGAGACGTCTTTACAAACGTGTAATATAAATTTGTATTGTGTTTTACTTTCTTGATTTTATAGCCTTTTGTTTTTTTTTTTATTTATAAAAATGTGCCTCGACACTCTAGGGGTGGGCCAGGGCCATGATTGGGCCAGTCATGGCCAAAAGATAAAAAATAAATACATAAAACTATAGGTTATGTTGATCCGTTTTCATACAAATTTCAATGTAGAACCATTGCATAAACTTATACAAACCAATATCGTATAACTGCAAGAAAGCCTTGAACAAAGGAGAAAATGTCAATCGAATTTCTATTACTTCTTGGTTTTATAATGGTAAAGGCACCAAGGACAAGTTTGGAAGAACAACTAAACACAAAAATATTTTTCTAATATACTAGTCATGAGATACTTTGCAAGAGGTATGCTCCTCTCCATTTTTTAACCTAATAACTTGAGACAGAAGCCACAAAACATCTGAAGGTGCTCCCAAAAAATACAATTATAGATTCATAGATAACATGAAGATACAAACTAGATCAATCCACCTTGAACATGCACCTTACAAATGTAAATAAACATGAGAGCCAGAGCCCCAGATTTGCAAATTATGGACCAAGGAAGCCCATATCTTCCCTTCCTCACAAGTCCCTTGAGAAAAGGGTTAAAGCAGGAAACCACCCATGCACTACATAGAACTTCCAATAACATATTAAAGTCACCCCTAGCTAACTTAGGGGCAATAATAACCAAGCCTACAAGGTTCAGGAACAACAGAGTTGTGGGTGGTATAAACATTACATCCGAATTGAAGGTAAACTTATCAGCATTAGGATCGTTGTCCCTTTCATCCTTTGGTGTCACAAAAAAGACAATGTCTGAGAGTCCAAGTAGCTTCAAAGTGACGTCGAAGAATCCAAAAAGCCACCCACTAGCGCAATTTATCCTAGCCATCCGTTGGTTATTCCACCATTCCCTTGTCGAGAGATTGCATCGCCAATACTCCATCAACCCGAAGAAGTTGAATAGCACGAAGAGTGAGATAGGAATCAGCACTATTGGCTCAGGAAACTGCCGTGAAAAGATAAGTCATCATCATTTTTTTTTTCTTTTTTTGCTTCGTTAAGTTTTACCTAGTCTGGATCTAAATAGTTGTGTTAAATAGTAACAAAATATCTAGCATTATGAATCTATAAAATGAAGAAAATAACTCTATAGGATGAGTAATGATCCTATGAGATCGTGTGCTACATTACACATGTAGGACACTGATCTCCACCATTAGAGACCTACCACGGATTGTGGGAAGTATTGGTAACTTAGCTTAACAAGTTACAGTCGTCTCCATTACATGTTTTGTGGAAGACCTAGTCTTATAGGATTATTTCCTGTGTACAATAAAATCAACTACCACGTACCTATAACATGGAAGTAGGACGAAGTGCAGACTCAAAATTTCACTTGTAAGTGCATAAGTTAAATGCATACAAGCCAGGCATGAAAATTGTTTCACGATCTCACTTGAAACATGTTTCTGGAAAATAAGGCATGTAAACTTAGGAATTTATCCAATATTGATCAAAATCTGTAGAAGTTTTTCTGTTTCAAAAGGAGGAATAGTTTTCGCATTATAGTCATACAGACTAATATTTAATTAGAATGGTATAAATTGCAGTAATAAAACCATTAAAAACTATACAATATTTTCGCAATTATAGTTCCACTGTAGTTTTTCGCCCACCTGAAATACACAAGCTTGGAGCCCAATGGAATTTACTCTTTTATGTATTGTGTCTACTTTTTGAGTGAAATGAGCCACAAAGATGTCATTGATCATAGCATTTTGAATTATCAATATAACTTAGGTGGTTTCAATTAAGAATGTCTTGGACACATCATATATTGTCTTTGAAACCTTTCACATAATATGTGGTATTTAATAAGAATTTCATTGTAACAATGAGTGTGTTGCAAGTTAAAACCTTCAATTTCCACTGATACAAGAGGAAATCAGAGCTTACAAAAGATCTGTTGAATTTGTTATCTAGATAATTTTCAGAAAGTATTATAGAATGCTTTTGGATCTTGTCCACAAAGTGAGGGTTCAGTAACTACATACCTTGGGCATGAAGTGGGTGTTAGTAAGGAGGGAAAGAGCAGGAAGAATGGAGTAGAAAATCTCAGGGATGGGACGCAAGGCCCAAATGCTAAGGAAAGCCAAGCATTGCCTTATCTCAAGCTTCTTTGTTATGGTGGACAAGAGAGGGCTATGCCTTCCTACGAACAACTCTAATTGGCCGGCGGCCCACCTTCTTTGCTGAAGTAGGGTTTCAGGACCACTGGAGGGTGCACAACCAAGAAAGGCCGGTGGCTGTGGTGTGCAATAGACTGACCTCCATCCCGTGGAGAACAGTTTTAGAGATAGGAGCAGGTCTTCTGTACTAGATCCATAAACCCATCCTACCTGAAAAATAATCATCTACACTTGAATTATTGGTTGAAACTTCGACAATCAATCATAAGAAATATGGCAAGACAAGGAAATTATGTCTATTTACTTGTCCTATTAAATCCTGCCCCATTTTAAGAGGAATTTTGAGTAGGTCTAGATATAAAGTGATCATACTTAGAAGATCAATAGAGAGAAAAGTCAAGTTAATATATCCCAAGATAAAAATTTCTTTGATATTTTTGGGATTCCCTCCCTAAGCTTCCATTTACACCTGAAAATTGAAGCCATAGACACACATGCACAAAAGCGCACACACACGCAAGCATGCATGGATACATACATACAAACACATAGAGATACTAAACACACACACACACAAATGAATTCTCATGGGAAAGGCTTAGGAAATACTTGTGTTTCAATGACTAAAGTTTACCTGGTCTCCCCAATAAGTATTGTTCTCATATTTGCAACCAGCCACAATGTGTGCAGCCTCTACAGCGCTCTCAAAGCTGAGAGTGTCTCCAGCCTTGTTCAAATGAATACTTAATATTGATCTCAAGAGCTCCTTACAATGCCCAAATCTATTTATCAATTCCTCCATATTGGCTTCATTTGATCCTGAAAAAGGTAGACCACGCTTCAAATTGCAGTTAAGATATACATGGGGCTATGTTGATTCCTAACTGTACCACAACTTAAAAAAAAAATGCATGGTTCCAGGTATTCTCACACTATTACTTGTATTTAGGTTTAATCATTGATGACCCATCAAGTGTAACAAATTTTCATAGGACTTTATCTCTCTCTTCTTCTTGTTTTTTTCTGAAATTGGAAATTAAGATCTTACATGTGATAGTTGCAGATGAATTAAGAATTTTATGACGTAATGCCTCTTCATAATATGTTTCTTTTGAATGTTTATGTTTTTATATGGTAATTTGTTATTTTGATTACAATATGCACTATTATTCTTTTGACCTCGTACTGGTTTTTTTCTAATGCGTATGTATTTTATCCGTATTCCATATTCTATATCCCATCTAAATAACTAATCTATCCTTTTTTCCAGATTCCATCATCTCTATATATTTTGTTATATTTTGCACAACAGTTTTTTTACAGAAACCAACTTTTTATAATTTATTTTGCAATTTTGATCCCTTTTTAGGCTTGTTACTCAGCTTGGGCCATGGTGGAGTCTTGAGCCTCTGCCGAGTTTTTGCATATTGGTCAAAATTGCTCTAGTTTTCTCGATGTCCCATTATTGACTTATGTTGTTATGATGGCAAAAAATTATGTGATATTTATTGTCAGTGCATCATGACAAGAAATAATCCTCTGATTGTAAATGACAATTCTTGTTAATTTTTTGTGATTTTTTTATTTCTTTTTATTGTTATTGTTTTGGTAGATAAGTGAGGAATACTAGCCCCTACCCATTTTTAGAAATAATTAATGGTTTTCGAATGCGTCAGTGGGAATAGAAACCTAGACCTTAATTTGAAAAAGCTTTGTAGTTTTCCTTGCAACCAAACTTGTCAGCTAAAAGTAATTAAGGAAAGGTCATTTCACGACCCTTAGAGTGTATTTAGCTGGAATTTGCTTCTATGAGTTTCTATTCAGAGTTGTATAAGTTATAGAGTTGCTTGCCTAAGTAATATGCTTTGAATCAGGGATCACATTATCATGCAAATGTATCAAGAAACAAAAATCAATACGTGTATACCATTGAAGAACTCCAAAAAATTTCCTTTTGAATCTTCTGCCGGAAAACCGTAGATGGTTTTTCTTCTATGAAAGCATCCTGTTCCTGCATAACATGGCCCCTGTATTGCTGAAATACCAGCCAATACAACCTGTGGCACAAAACATTCCCAAACATCTTAACTCCCCTGGTACATTGTATAGAAATTGATGAAGTAGGTTCAAATTGGATTGAAACATTAAATTCTTCACCAGTGATGGCCTACATGGGTAATTCACTATTGAGGTGCCCAAAGGAATCATAACTCAGTGGGCTGGCTATTTAGACTTATAAGGGTATAAAGAGAGCACTCAAGTATTTGATAGAGAGCAATATAGATGGCAAATTTTTCCTACCCTGTTTTGCAGCCATGAATATGATGCTAAAGGGTTCCCTTGATCTAATATCTCTAGTTTGCCACAATCTCAACATGCTTTGATGCATATGCCAAATTCTCCTTTTAACGAAATTCCAAAATTTTCATGAATAACACAAAGGAAACGTGCCTTGTTACACTAGGAATAAACACTTCAGAAACTCCATAGAACTTTAAATGAGAATAGATATATACCTATTTGGGCAAAGAATCACAATAATCTTAAAAATTAAGGATTCCTCCGCCTAGGCAAATAGATTTGGACTTAGAACCTCCTTAGGGTTAAATAAAATGAAAGCCTAAAAATTGCAACCCCATTTTTTTTTCTAATGCTTAGTAACTTCATACCTCAACCTCACTCACTACTTGATGCTTTTCTCTTCTTACTAGTAACGCACCGACTCTTGCGGGTTAATTACTGTACACGTGAAAATATTTTCGTGAAAGCATTTTCACATGAAAAAAATTGAAATATCTCGCGAAATTGAATACTTCTACAAAAATATTTTCATGTGTACTAAACATGCCCTAAATTTCATTATATGGGTATCATTTTCCATCTACTATAGGCTAGTTTTATAATATTTAATCGGCTTCTTAGGCCTCTGTACGTTTCATCTCATTCCAATAAACATATTAAAAATGCATGGAAACTTGAAAACTTCTCACCAGCTATGAATTTACTTGGTTTTTGAGGGATTTAGGAAGCGTGTGTCCTAGTTTTTGATAGATTTGGGACCTCGAATGCATTCCCAATCACTGTAAATTCATTTTCCTTCTCTGATCTATGAATTTGGGATTCCCAAAAATAATACAGGTTTGATGATCAGATCTTTGAAGAATTAAAATAATATGGTACTATTATCATGTTATCATGGAACCCTATTTACAAAAGGGAAAAGTTTAATTCAGACAATGAAAAACTTATTACATAGAATTAAACTTCTAGGAAGTCAGTTTCCATTCTATTTAAACATATCTTTTTTCTTTATTTTAATTTTCATTTTTTTGGTTTGTTGGCAAGTTGGGCGTAGTAACGGTTGAGTAAAACGAAGCTTTCATGCACTTAAAGTCATTTAACAGGGGATATTTTTGGCAAGGGCCCCTAGAAAGGGAACAATCTTAAACAAGGGTACGGACCAAACTACTAATTTTAATGTTCAAATGAATTAGCTACTGGGCAGGAGTTCTATTTAATCAATGTTTGAAGAAAAACAAATGAGTAGGATCTGATCAAACGGTTCTTAAAATTTTTTAAAAAATACTAAAATTTCTTAAAAATCTAGGTTTTTTAGTTTCTGGAAAGATAGGGATATTGCATGGTGGATTTTTATTATTTTATCAAAATACATCAATATTAAGTACATGTATCATGTTTGAGTGTTTGTTGAACATTACATTGATTATATAGTCAAAGTGAAGCTTAAAATACAACTTAATACAAAAAAATAGATCTCTCTAATTAAATTTTTTTTATAATCTTCAATGTCACTTGGGCATGTAACGATAGGGTATCTTGCCTACCCATTGAGTTAGGCAGTGGGCATGTGTCTAAAGCCTTGATAAGGAATAACTATGAAAATTATGAGTAGTGTTCATGTGCAGGTGCTAGATAGAGTTTTCTACTTGTTCTACAGTTTGGTCTGGTTTCTAGATGGAAGTGACAAGGAAATTTAAATTTAAGTTTACATGCAAGTGATGAACAAACAAAGTAGTTTGCTAAAGTTTCACATTAACTTTTGTGTTGTGGAGCTCTAGTCTCAAGTCTCAACCATGGCTAATCTTGTGGTTCACAGTTGTAAATAAAATGACATAGGTGAATCCACTAAAATGTTGTTATGGAGTCAGTGTAACACCATGCTTATGCTCTTGACTATTGTTCGGTTCTTCATAGGTTGACAAAGGTTTAAATCTATAACTATAGGAAATAATGTTAGTGTACGGATATATTGTTAGTATTGATATACATCATTATGGATGCATATATCAGTATAGATATGTATGTATATGGGTATATATAACTCTTGATAAGGTTAGGTGTCAATAGATATCCATATATGGATATGTATGTATATGGGTATATATAACTCTTGATAAGGTTAGGTGTCAATAGATATCTCAAGATTAGTTAGTAATTATCCATAATAGTGGGTTTCTACCCTGTTATTAGCTGTATGTTTATATAGGGTCTTGTATATTCTTGATTAATCAATAAAGAGAAGTTCTCTGCAGTATTTTGAGTTTCTAACATAGTATCAGAACGATAGGCTCCTCAACCTCAGGATCTGAGCTCGCACCTCTAATCTCAGGTTGTATTATGGTATCAGCTCTCTAAACGCAAAGTCTCTCTCTCTTAAGTAATCTGATTCTCTCTACGTTTCTTCATGTGTTTCTGGCTACAACCCTATGCCATTGATTGGCTTTGATACAACGGACAACCTCAGATCTATGCAAAAACTTCAGCTTTCCCATTCGTCCATAAACTTTAGCTCTCCTTTTCGTCCATGGTTGAATCAATCAACACTCCCAACTTATTTAGAGAAACTCATAGACCAAGGAAGCACTGCCAAAGGACTTCTAGTCATGTTTCGACTCTCTGCTCTTTGCCGAGTCTGTTTCGACTCTCTGCTCTCTGCCGAATCTGTTTTGACTCTCTGCTCTCTGCTGAGTCTATTTTGACTCACTGTCGAGTCTGTATCGACTCACTGCCGAGTCATGTGTCGACTTTCTATCGAGTCATGATTCGACTCTCTGCAAAACAGCCTTTATCTCTGTTCTGGTATGTATTATGGACTGCGAGTTGTTGAATCTGTCTCATTGTTATATCTGTCTTGGACTATAAGTTGTTGAATTTGTCACAGATCCACCCCAAGTTTTGTTGGCTCTTTTAAGTGCCCTTTTATACTTGTTGTTTGAGCAATCTATGCATATGAAGACTTAAAGATCCAACTCTTTCATTTATGCAACTTATTGTTTCAAACTCCAACTACTTTGTGTCAAAGCATCTTGAGTTTGAAGGGGAGTCTTAGCGTAAGTATATCTTGTTAATATTGATATACATCATTATATATATATATATATATATATATATATATATATACAGTATAGATTGTATGGGTATATATATCTCTTGATAAAGTTAGGTGTCAATAGGTATCTCAAGATTAGTTAGTAATTATCTATAACTGTTAGTTTCTATCCAGAACTGTTATTAACCATATACTTATACGGAGTCTTGTATATTTTTTATTAATCAATAAAAAGAGAGTTTTCTATAGTATTTTGAGTTTCTATCAAAATTGGGACCCACGTTTTGGAGTACTGGGTCACTAAGTTTGATGGAGTGGTGGACACGCCATTTGATTCGATGGGAGGAGATCATGAAGATTTCCATTGTTAGTCTATAAAAGGAGAGAGAGAGAGGAGATTATGAAGATTTCCATTGTTAGTCTTTATAAGTAGAGCGAGAGAAAGAGAGAGAGGGGGAGAGATTTTAGGTGGGGTATATATTCATGTCCCAAGAAAGTTTAAAATTTACAAGTTTAGAAAATATCCCTCGTTAGGGATGTTGGAGAACAGTTGGCTACCACTGAACTATAGAATATGAGGTAAGAAGGCATATGTACTTTGTTTTATCCTGTGGGTGTGGGATCATCCATATAGAAATGTGAGTCTCCAATAAATAAAAATTTTGAAAATAAAAAATAAAAAATAAAAAATAGAAAATAAAGAATTATAGTAAATAAAAACTGCATAAAAAATATGGGGCCTCTAATAAATAAAAATTTGAAAAATAAATATTGTATATAAAATAAAATATTATATAGAACTGGTTGGTTCCCATGGAACCAAGCAGTTCCCAATGTTCAAAAGGAACAAAATCGGTTCTTCCTGAAAATGGATTAAATCGGGAGATTTTGATCCAAATTAATGTTTAATTATAGACTGTATGTAATAATAATGTCGGAGAAGTGATGTGTTGAACTCACACTGAAGAGGACTTTCAGTTGGTTTCCAAACGGGTCATCCTTGAGGCCTCCATAGAACACTTGGGGAAATTGAACAAAGGCGGACTCTCTCTCACTTTTGAACCCCAATAGAAGGCACATTGCTTCATAGAAACAAGTGGGGTTGTTCACAAACATGTCGCAATCGACGTTCATGATAATAGGAGCATTTGTCATCACTGCCGATACTCGTGTCTGTACAATAAACAAAAATTACACATCATTTCTCTTTGGGAAAAGTTTATGCAAGGATACAACTTTATAATGTAGAATTATAGATGCACCTCAAAAATCCATCAGAAAATGTTGTTTTAATGTTGAAAAGCCTTTGATTGATCTCGATATCGAGATGTATGACGATGAAAAATAAAAAGATTTTAAGTCTCAAAATTAGTGCATTTTACAATATATTATCTACACCGTCCATTTTCAAGATTTTCATATGTTTATAGATCTACTTGATTTTAACCATTTTTTAAATTTAAAATTTTATAATTAGATATAAAAATAGATTTTGGGATAATCCTAAGAATATTTTACATCAAAATTATATACCATGATAAAATTTGAAGGTGCACCTTACTTCTATAGCTACGGATGCATCCGTATGCCAACGACACCCTTTCTCTTTTCGGATGGTTTTTATTAAGGAAAATTTTTTCACGCTGCCTGGACCGCATTTTTACATACGCGCTCCAGAAGAATTGAAACGGTCCAAATGTTTTTTTAAGAAATTTATTATTCTAGTTTTTTGAATTTATTTATTTTTACAAATTAATCATCTCCATGTTAAAGATTATATGATCTCTAATTATTAGGATTGAATTTTATTGCAAAATTAAATTTAATAAGGGCCGTGCATTTCTACATGTGCGGGCTTGGCCCGCATGCTAATCACGTCCTTTTATTAACTCCTCTTACTTATTGACTTTTCTATAGGTTGGCTGGAAAACTCAAAAGAAATAGAACTCAAACATTCTTGGCAGCCAACAACTTGTCTGCCAAAGCTTAAGGACCGAGATAATTACACATTGTTTCAGCTCGGTTAAGTCGACCTGGACTCGCAAAGTTACTCAATTGAGACCCTGTACCAAGGTGATTACCAATCTTTCCGTCGATTTCATGGGTAAGATGAGCAATACTCGACGAGTGCTATTCATACTCCCTCGAGTGAAATACAACTCAAACAAGTAAGCCAGAGTTGTATAGTACTGGGGGAGTATAAACAGTACTGTCGTGAGTAAGTTATATAACAAAAGGGGGTAATAAACGCCCAACTGAGACCATGTGCCGAGGTGATTATCCATGTATCCCTCAAGTTCATGGGTAACTGAGCAATACCCAGGCAAGTACTATTCATAATCCCCCGAGTGAAATAGAACTCAAACAACTAAGCCAGAGTTGTGTGGTATTGATGGTGTATGAACAATACTCTCTTGAGTAAGTTATATAATGGAAGGGGGTTAATACCTACCTCAAAGCGTTCAAGTACATACACACACTCCATCACTCTCTCAAAGGTGGTGGATTTCGGCCCCCTTATTTTATTTTTCTCAAATGGAACAAATTTTTCCCACACTTTTCACCTCTTCTTCTCTCACTCTCAAATTTTGCACCCCTTTTTTAATTTCTCTCTTTCTTTAAAAGGGAGCTGAAATCTACCTCTTTTTCTCTCTCTCTAAGGATGCGTTTGATAACATGAAGTTGGGAGAAGAAGTGTTTGATACAAGAAACTTGTGTTTGATAACAGGAAGTTGGGAAAAGAAGTGTTTGATACAACAAACTTATACAGTAAAGAAGTTCCACTTTGAACTTCCTTATTCCCTTGTGCTTAAAAAAAAAAGTTCTATCTAAAATGATGGAACTTAAAATAAGAACTCGGTTCCTCAAACCCTATTTTGCCTCCCTCCTTATATTTATATTTATATTGTTAATTTATATTTGTACTTATTTATATTATATTATTTTATATTTATTATATAATAAAAATAAATATTAATAAAATAATTTATTACACAATATATTATATATATTTAATATAAAATACACTATATTATATATTATATTACGTTATATATAATATATATTTTATATTTTATTAGATAATAT